ACGACAAAGATATTTACGAGAACAGCGATCAACACCCATTGTTGTAATTTACCGTGCAAATTGTTACAAGTACTTAACTTTCACATCGCTTTTACAAACAATTTAACGAGAATTTAACGAGAATTTCACGAGGAAAGAAGAAAAAGAAAGAGGAAATTCGAACGGGCGGAATATTCCAATTACAAATGGAAAAGCCCCGCAGCAACGGAAGGTACAATTTTATCGGTCTAAAAAGAAAAGAGTCACAAATGGCTGCTTATATATAACGCGGCGTAGCCACGTTATTTTCACGCCGTTCAACTGCGATAAATTTCCATGAAATGGCAAGCTAGCTAGGAACTAGGGAATCGTTTTATCGAGAATAGGGAATTAGTAAGTAAGCGTTCCTCAATAGCTCGCACACATACTTTCTTTTATTTCATTGTATTTTATTTCTCTAAAATTCTTACAATGCTCTGCCTCGTTCGAAGAAACGAAATACATGAATTTACATCTAGCCATTTAGATACTACTATTCACCTAAGTAATAATTTTTAATTCGTCCATAATCTACGACAGAGAAAGCACAAACAATCGCCATACACTTCATTTCTGTAAAATCGGAGAATAAGCTCTAACTCGAAAAGTGTCCAAATACTTCTGTTCGTTTCGTGCAGAGCTTTTTCATGTTATTTCATCCCGATAAAGTATATAGTAGTAATCCACGGAAGCGGATTATGGGCATCCTAACTCTGATATTTGGGCGCAAGGAACCGACTATTAACGTCGGTCTGCAACGAGTAAAGGCGGATGCTACGCTTTACCATCAGCCGAGACCTGTATAATCCACCAGTGCTCCATACGGCTAATGAGTCAGCGTGATGGTCCTCGTATACATCACGGACAAGTCGTTTCGGTCCACTGTTCCAATACACACAGGTATGTAGCATATTGAAGAAGGTCTAATAGCTTTTGCAGAAATTCTCTGCAAAGGCTAACGGAAATTTATCGTAAATAATATATACCGAGAACAGTGTATAATTCAGCAGGGGCGAATTTTCGAAAGGAAGCTATATCTTCAGGTAGAAGCGAAAGCTAGTCAAAGTGGAATTCGTTTTTTTAAAAGGGGCTACATCAAGGGATTAAAACGCGGCTCGCCATGTGTTAGATCTACCTTATATATCTATTATAATCGCGACATCTCGTATTGGTTAAGTGTACAATTAGTATGTATGCGATGTGCGTGTATGTGTATTATTTATATAACAGCTCGAACGTATTGTCAACGTAACCGCTGAGTAAAATTGTTCTTCCTTAGTAAATTCCAAAGTGATTATTACCTCATTAATTATTATAAAGCCACACACTGCGCTACGCGCTCCAACAGCATGGATAAATCAAAGATGAAAAAAAGATCATCGAGCTGTGTTTGCATAAACGTTAATATCTCGTAACAAGCCGTAATCACTCGAGTTTCGAAAAACGAACGTGAAGGTCTGTTCCTTCTGTTTCTTATGGAGCCTTGTTTTTCATCGCACGAACAAAATCCATCAACAACGAATTGAAAGCGTCGGAAATCCAACGTCTTACGGGAAAATCGATAAGCTAGAACAGGATAGCTTTGACCATTGTGCAGGAGACGCATTTACGAATCGTTATGCAGAAAGGGATTTGCACGGAGTATCAAGTTGGTGTTTTAAGCCTCGATGCAAATGCGAATGGGAACGTTGAAAAGCAATAACGATGGCTGGTACTGCGCTTGCGAGTAGAATTTCGCGCAACGTGGCAGAATTTATCGAGAGATTAACACCCACCATATCAAAGTATTACGATCCTTATCTGTAGACTGTCTAGACTCTGTTTTCTGTGACTCACAAAGACGCGAGAAAATATGTACCAAGTACGTTCCAAGTGACACGTGAGAAACTATCTTACTCTGATTGATTATACCGCGACAGGTTTCTTAAAAAGAAGAAAAAAAAAAGAACGATTTACACGTTCTTTCCGCGTGGTTGCGCACGACATGGCAAAGAAAAAAAAAAAATCAATAACTGCCAGTTTGTCACAAATGTTAACTGTCGAAACTAATTAAATTAGAATGGCAAATGGGGTGAAATTTGAAATCGAACATTGACGAAAGGAAAGTAAATTTAAGTAATACTGAACAATCTACTATGTTTTGTCGATCCTGCGAAGATCGAGCGCGCCAGTTTCAGAGAAAAAACCTACTCTGATCGCCGATAGATGGAGGCACACTATCGGCGCATCTCCTCTTCTCATTTACCCTTTTGCTCCACCTATGCAGCATTCAACCTAAATACCATAGGTTGCCCATTCGTTAAGATTCTACGTATCAGGTCTTTTTTGTTTTTTTGGAGAAACCGTGTCAATCGTCCTAGCAAACGGGGGGGGGGGGATCATTGGAGAGTCGTTTGATACGTTCTAGGAAACGCGTGTAGAAACATTTCATAGACGACCGTCACACCGAGCGTCACAAGTAGAATCGGACGTCACAGGTCAGACACCATTTACCATTTATCGTTATTTCTACTTGACAAAAGGCAGTCTTCTTTCAAATTCAAAATTCAAACGAAAGGCACGTTTGCTCTTTTGATCTACCATATATATATATATATTAGAATTTCAAACCTACTCCTCGTCGTACTCCACAGAAACTACCGCCCCTACTGTCAACGCGTGAAAAACATCTCATTTTCACTGCGCCCTCGAAAATTGCGTTCCACCTACGAAGGACAAGCAGAGTTACGAGTAGAGACTCGATTTCTGGAATCCGGTCCTAATGCACTCCAATTACTAACCGCGCATGTCGATTTTCCCCGAACGCAGGATGGATCACTCGGCAGTGGAGGCCACAGGTATTTGCCTGGCTCCGTCAGACAAACGCACTTTTTCTCCCCCACGCATTCCACGGGATCGTGTGGCCCCGAGAGGGGTCACGACCCACGCGCCGAGTCGCGACGCGATGCAACGCGACGCGACCGCGCCGCTTCGGCGCTCAAAGTCGAATGACGCTCGCGCCCCCACCACCCACACGATCGTCGCGCGCGGCACGCTCGTCCTCGGGTCGTGCACGCGGTGGGGCTGGGACGCGAGCCAATCAGCGCGCGTACGTCGTACGCCGGGTCGAATCTTGGTCACGTGATTGGCGACCGCCGATTTTTCGTCTCGCTCGGGGTCTTTGTCGGGCAGCGTCGTTCCCGTGGGTCCGATCGGGTTCTTTCCTCGCGACCTTTCGCCATCCTTCTTCATCCATCGCTACTCGCGCTGTCTCCTTTTCTCACTCTGCGAGCGCGTCCGTTGGAAAGGGACGGTGAGAGAAGGATCCTTCCCCGAGGAACGAGCGCTTCTACGAAACTCCTGGCTTCGCTTCCCCTTCCCAGATGCCCTTCACACGCTTCGCCAGTTTCCTTACCCCTTTGTAGAGCGGCGTAGAGCTCAGCGGTTGGAATACTTGGCTGGCCTCGCTCGGCGCCGGAACTATCCGCGCGCGCCGACTCCGTTTTGATTATCTACCCGTCGAGAGCCTTTGACACGTCTGTGCTCTCAGCCAGAGATACTCCCAGCAGATAGAAACCGGCTAGGATCGGCGCGCGTAGCAAAAGATGCGCTTGCCGCTGCACCAGCCGATTCGTTATCGGAGCGACGCTTCTTATTGCGGAAATGGGATAGGTACCCGTTTCGGGGGATTTTTCGACACGTTTCGACGTTCTTTTCTAGCAGACCGTGAACGAGACGCCCGACTCTGGCGATTATTTCGGTCGTTGGCAGTATCTCGTGACGATAAGTCTCGGGTGCGTCCATTTGCGTGATTCGAGATTTACGTGGCACACGCCTTTCACGAATTTAATGACTCTATCCTAGTAGTCGTTCCTAGAAACGTGCCCCGTTCGTGAACATTGAAAATGCAATCTCGTTTCGAGACTCTAGGCCTTGGCCACGTCCTATCAACACGATACATCAGGAATTCCACGACATGTGTCACGTAACCGAGGATATCTCTGTCAAATCGCCAAGCGAGATTTGAAAATTCTGCAATTGTCCACCGAGAGAGGTAGCAAAGTGCTAAATAAAAAAAAAAAAAAACAACTCTAAATAATTCATTTGGAATTCGACGATGACACGAGATATCTTGCCAGATCGAAATTTTCTTCGTGTACCGAACGATTGCAACGACTAGGCGATCGATTGAAAATTCCTGCCGGCACTCGTGCAAAGTGCACGACCGTGTTTTCTCCAATTTGAAACGAGACGGATAAACGGCGATCGCGTGGCTTCTATCCGAAAGAAATACTACGTATCCGCGCGTTTCGTGCCGGGCATACGTGCACGTATATGCGCCGAGATAAATGCCGTGGCGCGCGTTTAATCGGTCGCACAAGTAGAAAGAGTAATTTCGAAAGAGCCGAGGAGGGAGTAGGAGGCACGTGCCAGTGGTGCGCGCGTGCGTCAGTCCGCGCACACTCGACGCACTCCTCGGTGGCACTCGGCTATTTTCGAAGAACGTGATATAAGTCCCGATGACGTTCGCGCCCGTTCCACCGGGCGCGTACGTGCGTCCCTGTCTAGAAATTACCATTGCCACTTCTCGATCCGCGACGCCGAGCAGCCGGTTCTAATGACCTTTCGGCGCGCGCGATACGCGTCACGAGACTAATCGCGGGGAGAACACACTGCGCCGCGTTGTTCGCTCGCCAACCGTCTACGATTTTCACAGCATTTTTCACTTTTGGCAGCTCTAACACTCGGCGAGAAACCGTGTGATCGATTTCAGCTGAAAATCACCAAGGCTCGCATTTCCCTGCGATGGAGAGTTTCAAAAATAACATTCAACTAGGTCGAAGGGTGGTAAAATGCATTTTCTACGAAAGAGGAAGGAAAAAGAGATCAGAGGGGAGGGGGAGGGGGTGGAGAGAGAGAGAGAGTGAGAAAGAAAAGAGGGAAAAAGAGCGGATGACAGTGCAGAAAAATCGGATCGATCCGAGTCCGGGTGTCGGGTTCCTTGGTGGGGGATTCGCGCGAGGCAACCCGACACGGTCGGTGGGTTCGTAGGAACCCGAGAGGGGGCACTTAAAGGCACCCGGGTGCCGTCCGACCGTCGGAATTCGGCGGTGGAAGGGAAGTCCAGGTTAAACCGTCACGCGCTATCCCCTCTTGTGCCGGCTGGTTGCCGTTTGCCCCCACCCTTAAGGTGGCAGCGCCTCCATCGGGCATTCCACTGAGTGGCACGCTTCGACGAGACGACAGAAGACGTTCGCGGTTCGTGCAGTCAGTCGTGCTCTGACGACCGTCCCGAGTAGTCGGAGTTCGGTGATTGAATCGAAGCGAGCAAAGAGAGACGACGTGCGTTCTCTTTGCTGCGTTCTCTGCGTCCGAATATATTCGTCGCTGTTCGGTAATCGTCGCTTCGGCCAGTCGCTTGGATTACAAATGCGAGCACCGGCCTAGCAAGAACGCTACCTTACAGTGCTACCCATTCTGGATTAACAGTGTGCAGTGTGCAGCTTGACGACAAATCGTGCCGGACGATTTGTCGACTATTTCCGTTTGATCTCTGTTTTGTGACGCGAGACGGTCACGATGGTGACAGGGGTGGGTGCCACGATGCCGACAGGCGGTGTCACCGTCGGTGCTACGCCACCGGCGCAACACGTGCCCCAGGAGGCTGGACAGCCCCCTGCGCAAACAACAACAACCACCACCACCACCACCACGAGAAGATCCGGAGAGAATCGACGGGTTAGTGTCTTTGTCAAGATATCACCTCCTTTCGCCAACTCTCTCGCGAGTTTTGAAAGTTTCCTCGTCGTCGCGAATTCTAGAGTCGGGAGTCTCTCGAGAGTTTCGAAAGACACTCGAGAGATTATCGAAAACAAGTTCCAGATATTAGAATTCAAATGGACGAACTCGGTCCTTGTTCGAAATCGCGCACAAAGTACTGCGAACCGAAATTTGACGTTATTGTCACTCGGGGCGACTGTTCGAAACGAAACAACCTGGACAATGCATACCTGTTGCCAAACCTCTGACCTGGCAATCTTTGTCTTTCTGTTACAGAGCAATAAACCGATAATGGAAAAACGGCGACGAGCCCGCATTAACAACTGCCTAAACGACCTGAAGACCCTCATACTGGATGCCATGAAAAAAGACGTAAGTATCTCGACGTCGTGTGCACGGCATGCTTCTCGATGTTCGATCGTCAATTTAAAGAAAAAAAAAAAAAAAAAAAATATTCGAAAGGAAAAACGAATAGCGCGGAAACGTTCGAAGCTGTGTGAAATTTCTCGCGAGTCGAAAATCGTACTACGATTCGACGTGTGAATTGTTATATAATCGCGTTGCGCCCGTGATTACAGCCAGCGCGACACTCGAAGCTGGAGAAAGCGGACATCCTGGAGATGACGGTGAAGCACCTGGAAACGCTCCAGCGTCAACAGGTAGCATTGGCGGCTGCGACCGATCCGAACGTGCTGAACAAATTCCGCGCTGGTTTCACGGAATGCGCCGGCGAGGTTGGCAGATTTCCCGGGCTGGACGCCTCGGTGAAGAGACGTTTGATGGCCCACTTGGCCTCCTGCCTCGGACCGGTCGAGGCGAGCAACAACAACGGGCAGGCAGCGAACCAGCAGCCTGTCCAACCGGCGCCACCGACCACGCAGCTCCAAGTGCACATTCTCCCCCAGGTGGACGCCACGCCGAGGATCCAGGTCCAACAGTCGAACGGCATCTTCTTCACGAACGCGAACGGCACCGGGCTTCAGTTGGTCCCGACCAGGCTACCGAACGGAGACATCGCGTTGGTGCTTCCGGCGGGCGCGAAAGCGACCCCCGTTACGTCACCGGCCACGTCCCCGGCGCCAACCTCGCCTCTGCCAACTCTGATCCCGATTCCTCAGAGAACGGCCAGCACCGCGTCGGCGTCGTCCTCCTCGTCCTCTGCCAGCTCGACGTCCACGTCCGCGGCGAGCCCGGTGGCGTTCGAGGCACCTCCAGCCACGTTCCGCGAACAGCCGGTGGCCTACACGAACGGCAACAGTCACAGAGACGTGGCCACCTCGCCGGCTAACGGATACACCAGCGACCCGGAGTTCGATCCTCGCGTGTACAGCCCACCGCTTCAGAAACCCCTCGCGCTGGTGATGAGGAAGAGCGTCGTGCCCGAGGTGGGAGAGAAACCGTGGAGGCCGTGGTAAATAGACACCGTGTGGAACCGATCTCTTTGAATATTCTCGCCGATTCGGACAAGTTCGGGGACGAACTTTGAACTTCACGTATCGTTTTTTGTACAATCGTACCAGTCGCGGGTGATGGAAAGATGCCAAGTCTCGAGTGATACACGTTATACACGCTTCGGCGAGAAGAGACGAGAGTAGTGGACCGTAGATCGGAGAGTAGTCCCGCGGAACACGGATCATTGTTCCTTTCGTCGTGTGGCGCGTTCTAGAAATCGCGGTGAAGGATGTCCTGCCAGCTAGGAGATCTCGCGCGAGCTGGGAGAAACCGTCAGAATTTCCATATTTCCCCCGAGTGCGTGCAGTCGGCCAGTAGCCTATGAGGCAGTGCCTTATACAGTGCCTTGTAAATATTATTTTTAATTTAGATCCCATTAAACGTCCCGTCGAAATTCGTCGAGAACCATGGTCTAGTAGGAAACTAATCCCCTTGTAATCCTATTTTTCTGTATTATTTTCCGTTTTATTGCCATCGACCTGTCTCCCTTTCTTTCCTCTTTTCCTTCGTCCTTTTCCTTCTCGTATTCTAGCTTCGATTCCTTTCTCCTTTTGTACATATATGTCGTTAAACGAATATTGTATTTTAAGTGCCTTACGCAACAAGAATCACCGAGGTCTTCCATTCTGTTTCTTGTACGTAAAAAGAAAAAACGTAAAAAAAAAAAAAAAAAAAAAAACACTTTAAAAAACGATTACACCTTCATCGATAAAATAAAACACTCGCGATACCCGTTCAAGAAAATCAGTCACAAATTTCACGCGTGTCACGGTGAACTCGATTGATCGCACGAGTGACTCGTAGTCGGTGGAGCGATCGTGGACTCGCGCTATCTTCACGGTGCAACGGACTTCAAGCCGGCTTTACCGCTAAAAGATTAAAGCAGGATTTCCAATCATATCGAACGATGTGGTTCGGCGAACGAAACACCGTGGCACAATCCGTTTGAAACATTCACAGGCACACATAGACAACGTTGTAGCCAGGAACCAGAAAGGTGAAGTGAAATGAAGAAAAACAATCGTCGCGAAGAGATAACGTGTCACAACGAGGACGGGGTTAAAAAACTATTAACGTAACAATGCCGTCATCTCGCGATGACACATCGCGCTTAGCTGCTGGCTGATCGTCGTCATCGCGATACTTCGCACTCGATACCGCACACCTTGTTGCACGACCGCACGAAACATGTTGTTAAACAGAAAACTGAACGACAGAGCAATGATAACTAGAAAACGACGACAATGCGTCGTCGAACACGAAATCGTACACGAATGACGTGCTGGTCATTCATGGAGCCCGCCGTCATGCTGATGGAATGCGCACATCATGGTGGTGAAATCGTGATGACCAATCAGCGTTCACTTCGCACCGGCTTCTGCGTTCGCGAGCTACGCGCGCCACGTGACTCCACCGTTCGACCACGTGACAACGTTGCACCTCCCACTACCAGCCTCGGCTCACGACATGTCGCGTGACGTCACGACCAGCTGACTGCGCTAGTACGGTTCCCTACTCCTCTTACTCGTCCTGCTGCCTGCTACTGCTGCTACTTCTCTACTCCTCTCTCCGCCACTTCCATTTTTCGATGAATCCGTTTCGAACAGCCCGAAATTGACGCGATGCGACGCGTCGCGTTACCAACACGACTCGCCTTCCCACCGAAAATAGCCACGGAAGGCGGTTTCGTTGCGATGCAGGGGATTTTCGTGGAGTTCGAAAATCAGGGAAGCACAGATGTTATACGAGAATCGTTCGAAGAAGATTCTAAAAAGAAATCTGTAATTTGGAGTGTAGATAATGCAGGGAAAGACTGAAAAAACGTCTCTGTGATGTTTCCTAACTTGTCATTTGTTGGGATTTTTATGGTGTCAATTAAATTGCAAATGTAACAAATATTTGTAACAAGTCGTAGAAATTTAGCAAGACGATATTTTTTCACTAAGAAATAAAGCATGGCCATGTTCCGCCATGGAGATTAATGTTTATTTTTATCTACGTTAAAATTTATGACCGTGGTCTTCTGATAAATTGATAAATTCGGTACTACCACGATAAATTTGATAAATTCGGGGTCAATATCGCTAATTGTAAGTTAAATATTGGCGAAACTGTTTGCATAATTTTCAAAGAATATTGTTTGATTATTACTCGTACTAGAATTACATAAACGTAAATATAAATCATAAATATTAATGAGACTTTTGTAGATTGTAAAAACCATATAAATCTTCACTAAAAAAANAAAAAACGTAAAAAAAAAAAAAAAAAAAGAAAAAAATATATACGCCAAGCGTGTGAGTGGATTTGTCATGTAACGCTGGTTGTAACAAGTACGAGGAACGTTTGTAAAACTAACCGCGAAATCGCTTAGTTTGTAGATTAGTTAAGCCTTGTGCGCGGGAGAGAAAGAGAGAGCGTGAGAGGTTGAGAGTACAATAGTATGTGTATAATCTGTCCTAATTTATATTTATATCGAGTGCAGGGGAACGAAAATTTATCTCTCTCTCTGTCGTGAGAATAGGAAAAGAAATCGACGCTTATCAATTGCAAGAGCATCAAATAAATATTGATCTCTTTGTCAAAACTTAACCACTGGTTTCGTTTATTTGCCTCATCGTTCCCCCGATTCATCTCTTTACCTCTTCTTACCGGCTTCTATATTAATTCTCATCTATTTTATTTCTCAGCTTCAAAACGTTCGATCGTTTCGGCTTGAAATAAAAGTTGGCCTTTTTTTTTTATCATATATCCAAGATATAATTCGCAATACGAAGCAACTTCTCGCTTTGTAGAGGCCTCGCGTACCATCCACGCTGCTGCAGCTTTCAATGCCTACTGAACCAACGTGTCCAGATATCTTCGCCGAGGTGCTGCCACCTAAAGGAGAGTATCGTAGGTTCCCCCCGCGTTAAACCGGTCGTGGGTCCTCCTTCCGTGGTCTTGGCGCCGGACGAAGGCCCAAAATCCATGCCTCCATCGAACCGAGCCGAAAGCGCGGGTCGGCAAGAGTCTGCTGCCTCCTAGTGGTGGGTCCTCGAACACCGTCAGGCCCTTCTCCCTTTGAGACTCGTGCCCTTTCCGTTCCCCAAGGATCACAGAGGGCGTCTGCAACTCGATCGAACGATTCTCCCGTGAATCGCGCGCGCCAATTACACAGTATACACGCGCGGATCGGAGAAGGAAGGAGTCACGGATTAAAATTTATCAGGCAGCCAGGAGAATCTAATCTCCGGACTCTCTCTGATAACCAATTATCGCCGTCTACTTCCTCTCGAAATCGATCGCGAGTAACTTTCCAGAGAGACGATCCACCGATCTTCCGGTTCGGGAGAATGCTTTGGAACCGATGTTTAAAATACTTTGGTTTCCAAGATTTTGCTTATGCATTATGCGTCGCCGTTGTTGTTATTATCTTTTTCCTTTGAATAGCAAATCGTTTCGTAGTTGGAATACTTAACGTCGATGTTTATCGACGTGCTACAATTCACGCTTCTGGCAACGTGGTTCCGAGAGGGTTATAAGCGACCCACTGGAAATTTTGTACCGTCACCTAGGCGTCCGGCTCTTTTTGCAAGAAACTGCGATGGCAATGCATTACCATAATGCACTCCTGACTGGCCGGTGGCGTCTCCGGCACCGCAATTTGCGGTGGCGCACGCAACACCACGCTGAATGACAAGCTGCACGGTAGCACCTTGTCATTTCCGATCGTGAACTCCGGCTCTCGGGTCAAAATAAATAACGTCTCCGGTGTCGTGGTTCGTGCTGCACCACTCGCGGAAACGAACGAGAAGATGCACAAAACGTGGAAAAACGCCAAGCCCTTTTTGAGTCCGGCTGATGAATTTCGTCGAACCATTCTCGATGAATTCTTTTTGAATGTACCGTTGTTCCAGCGTGGCAAAATAGGTATGTACTTCAAAAGCATACAGAGGAAGAACAAAGGACTTGATCACTCGCAAACTTTCGAAGCAAATTCCACGCAACGTGTCGTTATTTAACCTCTTGCGCTGGAATGACGTGCCACGCACGTCGAGAACTCTTTGTCCCAAAAATTGTAATATTTTCTCAGTTTTAGGTACATTTAAATATAACCCAGGCAAAACAAACAATAGATTTCTTACTTCTCAATAATTTCTACTCAGTCATATACCGACGAGTTCAAGAAATGCGCGACGAATTATTCTATATACGATTTTTTGGTCACTCGTTATGGTCCGCAATCAGTTGCCAGCGCAAGAGGTTAACATTTTAACTGACGATCTCGTCCAATTGAAACGAACGTGTCGTACGTACGGTCTCCGTGAGTATAAAAACGCCGATTACACACTAGCTGGCACGTTGCATAAGCTACGTGTCAGACATACGGGAGTTGGAGTTTCTAGTTATCTGCGCGACGGCGAGTTGGTTATCTTTCTCGTTACGTAAAATTTCCGACAAACGGGCCTCTCGTGAGATACGGAGGTTCAAAACGAATTCTCCGCTCGAGCCTCTCGCGTACGATTTCCACGTCGACGTGACAATCCTTGGGGCTCGGCGGGATCGTGTCCCTTTCCCGCGTCGAAACGCAGCCGTAATTACCAGCCGAGGACTTGGACCCGTCCCTCCGTTCGGGGAAACGTTCTTTTATTTATCAGCCTCGACCCTGGGGCTTGCCTCTAATGATCATTAGGATGGTAATCGAGTCTCGGAGTTCACCGGGTAATTTAATTAAATCACACGCCGATTTTTCGCGTCGCCGCGTCGGTTCGTTATCTGCGGACCCTCTCCCACTCTTCCTCGCATTACAGGCGAGAAAAAGATCTCCATTCGAGAAGAGACGAGACTGGGAATTCCCTTGGCCTTCTTTTTTACATTCTTTTGTTTCCAGTCGAACGAATCCAACGAGTCGTTCCGTCAGTTCACGCTGATTCTGAATCGTAATAAAGAGACGTAAAACTTACTCTTGCGCAAATTCTGGGATTCTGTGTAATCTGCCGTTGCATTTCGTTACGTGCTTTGATACGAAATTCGTGACCTGGGCAAGAACAATTGCCAAGCAAGTACATACTCGATACGGCGTGCAAGATGCCTGGAGTGGAGAGAGGGGAGGGAAGGAAGGGCGACAGGATTAATTATTCGTGTAGGTCCGAGGAAATCCTACCGGACCACGGGGACCACCTCTCTCTGGGAATTCTCCGTTTCGCCGGGCGACCAGCTGATTCCTAGAACCGCGTGAGAACGTCTAGCAGCGCGCCGAAGCGACTTGGCTCGTTGTACGGTCGCGGTCGCGTGGTTTCAAGGACAAGGCAAGGTTGACACGCGCCGCCACTCGCGAACAGCAAGTGGGGGGTCTCTGGCTCGATCTCATTCCCTCCACGTTCGCTTCTCACTCCCGTTACAGCATCACTCTATGCCTCGGTGGCTCGCTCTC